AGAGCACATGAGAGGGGGGAGGGTCAGAGGGAGAAGCAGACTCCCTGCTGAGCAGGGAGCCCGATGCGGGACTCGATCCTGGGACTCTAGGATCATGACCTGAGCCGAAGGCAGTCGCTTAACCAACTGAGCCACCCAGGTGCCCTGTTTTTTTAAAGAAAACTTATCTTGATTCTCTTCTGAATAAACAGCAGTAAAATCATATAGTTTGAAGATTTTAGGATAACAACAAAACAAAAAACCTTATATTTGAAAAAGCTGTGCATTTGAGGTGGTTTGCATTAAACGTGGCCAAAGGGCCTCTAAATACTTTGTTAAAATATCTAGTAGACCGTAAGTATTCTCTGAACTTTGATGCTCAGGCAAAGCGCTTTAAGCCAATGGCAGTGTGTTCACTTCTGGTGTGTGATCACATCCCATACTTGCCCCCGCCTTTCAGCTGGCCCAAGTACTCAATCATTTAAAAAGCATTAAATGAGAAGAGCTGTGCCAGGTGCTAGGGATTCAGAGGTGACCTGCAAAGGTTTGTCCCTTCCATAGCGACGATGAGTCCTGAGAAGCAGCTTCGGATGGTACCTGCAGCACCATAGTTTAACATACTTCCTCAGAGCAGAATGGATTCTGACTGCACCATTAGGCAGGAGAAGCTCCAGATATTTTATATTCGATGATATTCTTTATCAAGGACACCACAAATGATAGATGTCATCAAGAAAAAGCATGACTTGCATATCTGTACACATACGTGTGCATGCCTGTCGATGTGGCTAAAGGGAATATTATCAGTACACTTGGAGAACAGGGCATCCTCCCAATCCAAGCTGAGGAAGCGAATATGTTTGGATAACAAGGGCTATTTACAGGACTCGCTTCGGTTCCTGAGTTCCAGGTGCTAAGTACCAGTATTTAGGTAGTGAAAGATTCTTCCAAAAATGTGTCTCTGCCTATCTGGTTCTGAGTTTGGATAGTATCACTCCAGATAACAGAAGTGTATCTGGCAAGAGTTCAGATAGCAAGAAGCACCTGAACTTTTATTTCCTGGTGAAAACTCCTGCTTATCTTGGCCATAAACAAAACCAGAAACCCTTACTGTGGGGCTCGACTCAGTTCTGACAGAATTACTCGTGCTGAACTTGGAAAAGAGAATGTCATAAAGCAGTGCTGTAGCTCGGAAAAGTCCAGAATGACAAACTTCCTTGTTTTATATGTTCATGTAACACACCATTTTCCTCATGCGGTTGGCAAACTTGTAGATTAATATTATTCACTTATTCATTCATTCATTCAACAAAAAAGATTGAGTACTTAGGAGGAGCTAGGTCTAAAGATACAAGGGAAACAATAGAGTCTCTGTCCTCATGGAACTTAAGTCAATCAGGAAAAATAAATATGTACATTTCTGTAAAGCAGTATGAAAATAACATAAAAAAGTCTGTGCAGAGAGTTGTACTAATAAGGGAGAGAGTATTTAAAAATCAGGATAAGTTCTATCTGTATACTGTATTTAGAATATAAATTACCCTCTTGCAGAAGATTTCATTTGATTCTTAAATCAAGCCAGCCTCCAGGTCTAGAGCACATTATTGCCCCCATTTCAGCTGGGACTCAGTAAAGCTAAGCGAACCAGACCCACATAGCTGGTAAGAGTCAATAATATGCTCTAACTCTGGACTTCTGACTGTTGTGCTGTTGCCCTTTTCCATATTCACCACTGACTTGAATATAGCGTATTTCATCGCTCCGCTCCTTTCTGCTCCACTGACCTGTAATTGTCTTACTGGTCCCTGAATCTGGTCAGATCTTCCTGGTTACAGCTGTGAACCCACAAAGTCACAATGCTTTTCATACCTGTAAATTCCTAGAACTTTAATCTGGCTGTAAAGGAAGCACAAAGCTTTCACTTAGTGATAATGATGGTGGCATGTGCACAAAGCCAAGGGATCCTAGCATGCCAGAGCCCTCGCTGGTGGCAAGCGGATGTCTCAAGGCTGGAGAGATACTTGGGCCTCTCCACTCTGCTGGTCTCAAGAATATTACAGGGATGCAGCATGCATTCCTAGGCCTCCACATCCACTGAAGGGAGAAACAAAGTCAAGAGTTTGTTCCCAAACACCAGCAGGACGAGTGGCTGTCGTTTCCTCTGGGCAATTGAACAAGCGTAGGAGAGAAGCATTTCTAACACCCAAGAGCTCTGTCCTAACTGAAGTACAAGGGGTACTTTCAGACTGGTTCCTGAGCACTGGTTACCAGCTTAACCAAGAGGAAAAAGATCAAATAGGTATATTTTCCCACAGTTGTAGAGGTGATTTTTTTTTTTTTTCAGCAGGAAGTTAACCTAACTCTTAGGTGAAACTTTGGACCTAAGATCTTGTTTGCTTTGGTTCATGACCCTGAAAAGAAGCCATGAAAAAGAGCCATTCTGACTGAATTTCTATGGTAGATTTCCCTAGATTCTTAGAAACCTTGCACTCCCACTGAAATCAAACGAAAGCAAGATTTGCCTAAGCTCAAGGACAGAGCAGCCATGGAGCCATAGAAGGGGACACAGACTGAAGTCAGAAGCCTGAGACTGAAGCCTGATCTGGTCCCTGTTATGGGCTGAATTCTGTTCCCTGGAAATTGGTATGTTGAAGCCCTAGGCCCCAATATCTCAGGATGTGACCATGGGAGATTGGGTCTTTAAAGAGGTGACTAAGTTAAAATGAGGCCATTAGGGTTGGCCCTAATCCAGTCTGACTGGTGTCCTTATAAAAGGAGGAAATTTGGACATACAAAGAGACCCCAGGGTTGTGTGTGCTCGAGAAAAGGTGACATGAGGACACAGCAAGAAGGCAGCCATCTACCAGCCAAGGAGAGAAACCTCAGAAGAACCCAAACCTGCCAACATCTCGATCTTGGACTCCCAGTCTTAGAACTGTGAGAAAATACATTCTTGTTGTTGAAGCCACCCAGTCTGGCATTTTCTATGGCAGCCCTAGCACACCAATGTAGTCTCTTAACAGGGTGGCCTGGTCAAATTTCCTGAGCTCTCTGAGCTTTCTCTTTCCCGCCTCTTAAAGGGTTAATATGACTGCACAAAACTGTAGAGTCTTAGCATGAAAATGCCTACCACAGTGACTGGCACAAAATAGGCACGCCATCTCTGTCTGTAAAGAAACCCAAGAACACAGAGGGTCAGGCTGCTTCTCAGTGGGCTTCAAAGGCAAGGGGAAGTTTCTAACCGACTGCTCTGCTTATGGGACCTGGTGCTTCATAGGCCTGTTGGCAATATCTGGCTCAGCCGTCTGCACTGATCTCTCCTTGCTAAAGGCCAGGAGTTAAGAAAATAAAGCGGCTTCTCCTCACAGGGAGTTCTACATTTTCCTGTCCTTGTACGTAATCCTGGTTATTTGATCCTTGCCTTGAGGAAGGTTGATACGTGCAACCTGAAGCTGACATAGAGCTCTTTGTCACCGGAGACCGCAGGTGGATGCCTTTCCCACATTTCTCTGCTCAGGCTCCAAGGATCCCCTGTGGTTTGGCTATGGCTGGAGTCCCCTGGAGTTGCTACCAAGCCTTTAGTTCTCATTTCCCCATGATGACCAGAAGATGGCGCCAACATTTCATACCTAAACACTGACTAGGGGATTTTTTTTTTTCTTTTCTTTTCTTTTTTTTTTTTTTTAAAGAAAGCTCTGCACCCAATGTGGGGCTTGAACTCATGACCCTGAGATCAAGAGTCACCATTGCTCTACTGACTGAACTACCCAGGTGCCCCCTGGCTAGTGGATTTTAAAAAAGAAGTGTTGGGGCACCCAGGTGGCAAAGTCAGTTGAGCGTCTGACTCTTGGTTTTGGCTCACATTGTCGTCTTAGGGTTGTGATCTCAGGTCGTGGGATGGAGCCCCTAGTGGGGCTCTGCGCTCAGCTCAGAGTCTGCTTGAGATTCTCTCTGCCGCCCAGTCTGTGTGTGTGCGTGTGTGTGTGTGTGTGTGTCTAAAATAAATAAATCTTTAAAAAATAAAATAAAGTAAAAGAAAAAGAAGTCTTGAATGGGTCAGGCTCAGGACTATAGCGGCCTTCTTGTGGGCCACTGTGTATTCCAGGTCTCTATGGCCAAGGGAAGACTACTTGTGGCGCTTCGTTCTTGGCCTTCAGCTATCTCTACCCTACACTCTACCATGTATGATTTCTTCTCTCGTGCCAAACACTCACATAGTGCTTGCTATATCCCAGGCAAAGCTAAGCACTTCACCTATATTACCTTATTTAATTCCCCCTCCCCAAAATCTACATGAGATAAGTAGTAGTTTTATGCCCATTTTACAGGGGGAGAGACTGAGGCAGGAAGAAATTGAATAAGTTAAGGTCAAATTGAGGTTATTAAATCTTTGGGAGACCCGGTTAAAAATGGACTTACTCCTGTGATGGCAGCTTATTAAATCCTAATTAACCTACTAACATAAAAATGCAAATTGGTTTATGAGATGCGTTTTATAGCCCTTGGCCAGTTCTTGAGTCCACTGAGTGAGGGGAGTGCCCCAGGACTGATCATTGTTTTCATGAGAAGAGGCAAAGAAATGCTAGCAAGGCCTGGACAGGGTCATCTAGGAGGAGATTGAGAGGTCAGGATGTATGCTCAAAGCGCGGGGCAGCTTGGAAAGAGAAGATGACAACCAAGGAGAGCGTCAGCAGAGGAAGAGAAAGGGGGCCCTCAAGATAAAAGTATTTTTATTTTTGACCCGCTGGAGCAAATCCTTCCTAAAAAGTCTCCAGTCCCAGGATGGCTGGGTGGCTCAGTTGGTTAAGGGTCTGCCTTTGGCTCCGGTCATGATCCCAGGGTCCTGGGATTGAGCCCCGCATCAGGTTCCCTGCTCAGCGGGGAGCCTGCTTCTCCCTCTGCCTCTGCTCCCCACCTCCCCACCCCTGCTCTTGCTCTCTGTCTCTCAAATAAATAAATAAAATCTTAAAAAAAAAATCTCATCCCTTAACCAAATCATAAGCTATGGGTTGTGTCTTCCTTAAAGTCTCCCCGGATGCCAGACTGTGCAGTACACTTCACTTCGCCCTCGCCTCTACCCTCCATGGTATTTACATTTCCTGCTAATACAGAAGGTATCACATTAAATTGTTGTCATTTGTTGATGTCACCAAATGATGAGCTGCTTCGGGCAAAACATTTCTGGATATCACATGGAAAATCCTTGAATTGTAAAATGTGACCAACCGACTGTATTTGTGAGACCACTGACTAAGCAGTGGTCCATTAAGAAGCCACTCATACTTCTGGAATAACTATATCCATATGGGAGAAGTGAACCCCACCCCTGCTTCATACCATATATAAAAATTAGCTTGAGATAGATTTTGGATCTAACAGGAAAGCTAAAGCCATATGCTTAAAGAAGAAAACAGGAAAATATCTTTGTGACTTGGGACTAAGCAAAAGTTTCCTAGATAGATCACAGAAATTATAAAAAAAAAAAAAAAAAAAGAATTTAAGGAATTGAGCTCACCAAAATATGCCATTAATAAAATTAGTAGACAAGCTATAAGCAAGGTTAAAATATCAAAAAGCATATCCATGAAAAGACTAGTGTCTAGAATATATAAATAACTTCTACAACTCAACAATGAAAAGAAAGAGAAAAAAAAGAAAAGAATGGGTAAAAGAATTGAGCAGGTACTTTCCAAAGCAGACATACAAATGGCCAATAAGCACATTACAAACGGCTCAGCCTTATTAGTCATCACAAAAATGCAAATTAAAACGCTTAGATATCTTTACATACCCGCTAGAATGGCTAAAATTAAGAAGACTGTGCCAAATTTTGGAGAGGCTCTGAAGCAACCAGGACTCTCATACTTTGTTGATGGGATTATATAATGGAACAACCTCTTTGGGAAAAGATCTGGAAGTTTCTTATAAAACTAAATGTAAGCCTACCATGTAGTAAAGGAATTTTAGTCCTTGGTATTTATCCAAAAGGAATGAAAATAAATGTCCACAAAAAGACTTAGATAAGAATGCCCATACAGTTTTAGCCATAATATCCAAAAATGAGTAATATCCCATTTATTCATGAGTAAGAAAATGGATAAACAAACTACAGTATATTCATGCAGTGAAATAGTACGGTGATTAAGATGAAGAACAAGCTGCTGATGTATGCAACAACATGGATGGATTCCAAAACCATAATGCTGAGTGAAAGAACCTCACACAAAAGAATACATACTGCATGAACTCACATGAAGTTCTAAAACAGGCAAATTTTTTTTAAAAGACTTTATTTGACAGAGACACAGTGAAAGAGGGAACACAAGCAGGGGGAGTGGGAGAGGGAAGAAGCAGGCTTCCCGCGGAGCAGAGAGCCCGATGCGGGACTCGATCCCAGGACCCTGGGATCATGACCTGAGCCAAAGGCAGATGCTTAACGACTGAACCACCCAGGTGCCCCCTAGAACAGGCAAATTTAATCAATGGTAGAAAAAAAATGAGGATAATTGTTGCCCCTGGGAGGATGCGGGCAGGGATTGATGAGGAAGGTACATGCAGGAGCCTTCCGGGGTGCTGGTAATGTTCTGTCCCTTGATATGGGTGCACATTACGTACATACATTTGTTACAACTCAACTAGTGTACACTTAAGATTTGCCCATTTTATTGGATGCGAGTTTATGTCAAAAGAAAAATTAAAACAAATATTGAGTCCTGGTTAATGATATGCATACTAGGGTATTTGGGGCATGTGTATAGCTGTTTGCCATTGGAATTTGTCAAAAATATAAGATGTTTTGATAAAAGGATAGCTTGTTGGGTGGATGGACGGCTATGTGGCAAGCACGTACTATAAAATGTTAGTGGTGGAAGCTAGGTGGTGCATGCACTGCCTGTAAATTTCTTTCAGCGTTGCAATATGTTTGAAAATTTTCGTGATAAAAAAAAAATTAGAGAACCTACCAATAATTAAGCTCTCGATCTTAGTGTTTCAAGGTCCTACTGACATGGTTATCTCTTTGGTGCTTGAGGCAGATAATCTCCTCTTCCAGAGCAGAAACCCTGAAAGTGTAGTTCTCTGTTGGAATAGACATCACTTCATCCTTGAAAGAGATCTACAGCTCCAACGGACGAACTGTGGGGGACTTGTGCTTTTATTGACGTACTTTTGTTACACGAATGGAAATGTCTTGCTTCCATTTCTGGAAGAGTCCTTTTCAACTCTGCTCTCTGTCCTGTCTTCTGTGTAGGAATCTTCCTGCCATCCTGGACTGGGTGAAGACTCAGAAGCCCGGAGCCATGGGTGTCAACATCATCACATCTGACTTCGTGGACCTGGTGGACTTCGCCACGACTGTCATTGAATTGAATGACCTCCTCCAGGAGGACAGAGCTTTGGCTAAATGCTGATTTGGTTTTTATTTCAATGTTGACTTTGTTGATCCAGGCCAGAGTTCTGAAGGGTTTCCTCTTAGGACAGCCCCTGGGTAGTGATGGGGAAGGAGGAGGAGGGCAGTTTCCCCTCTTCATAGGGCCATTTGGATAAAATTACAGAGCTTTTAATTGCATTTTTCCCAAATGAGACTTCTAAAAAACCTGAAGTCCAAGGGAAGAAGCATGTTTCATGTGATCAAAGTTAGGGTCTCCCCAGTGGCTCATGATGTGGAATGTAACGTGGAAAGGGGGTCTCCAGCTTCCTTCGAGTGTCTCCAAATCGGCCCGGTTTCCTGCTGTCTGCCAGGATGTTGTATGCGAGCCAGTGAGAAGACTGAACCAGAAACGCATTCTTAGGCAAAAGAATGGCTCGTGGCAGGTGTGGAAGGCCCCGTGGGTGGCTCTAACATCAACCTGGGGCTTTGAGGGAGAAAAGGGCCAGGCACCACTTCTCTCTGGCATGTCGAATGTCACCACTTCTTCCCTGAAAGAGTAAGACTTCTTGATCACCAGGCTGTTCCAGCCACAAGCTGTTCTTGCATAGCTGCTGCTTGGGAACTGGGCACCTGCGTTTTTTGGATAAACCCGGCATATTGCCTGTGGTATCAGAAATGTGTTTCCCAGTTGTAAAACACTGATTCCTTTCCATTTCTATTGGCCCCTTCTTAAAAGTGAAAGGAACAACAGTGGGGGTCTTTTCAGTGTGGGGCCCAACAGGAAATAGATATGCATGTTTGCTGCATGCCGCATTTCTTTGGTTTTAATCCTGTAAGCTTTTCCCAAAATGGCTGCCAGGTAACCTCCTGCATCATTTTGGCAAAGTCCTCTTTGGAATGGGATCTTCAAGCCAGATCTTGGAATTGCATTTCATTGCTGCCTGCTGAGGACCCGGGTCTGTGCTGTGTCGCGTAAGGTATAACGCTACCGGAAGGCACCTTATCGTGGCGCTGGGGAGGCAGCCGCGGGATGCGTGGGCAAGTGCAATGGATTTAAGGAGGAAGCTCCAAGTGGGTTTGGAGCTGTTCTGTAACTTCTTGAAAACCAGACTACCTCGGGGACATTCAGGATGACTTGCGTGTCATCATCAAGTGAGAGAGACCCAGTGCTGGAACGTTTCCAGTTTGCATCTCGATTGTTCTACTTTCTGCAGGTTGTTTTGGGCCTGCTAATCACCCCTGCAGGAGGGCTGTGAAACTCAAGAGGGGATTTTGGGTTTTGTTTTGTTTTTTTAATTGATAAGAGGTACTTATCTAGAAAGAGCCCTCTTGTGTTTTTATTTATTTATTTATCCATTTATTTATTTATAGATTAAGTATCTTCAGTGCTTCTTACCTCAAGAGCACTCACAAAGGCGCTTCCTGAACTTTTCTCACCCAGGCCCAACGCCGCCCTGATCTTCAACAGGCCCGTGCGTTTCAGGACTGTGAGTGACCTCTGACTGGGCCGGGGATGTTCCCAGCTCCCCCAGGCCTGTCGGGGCAGTGTGCATTGCGTGGGTGTGGTCCAGAGCTGAGAAGCCCCTGGCAGGCCACGCACGGGGCCAGAGGATGCAACGGGTCACGAAGAACTCTCAGTTCTTGAGGGAGAATCTCTAGTAGAAGGTCAGAAAGGAAGGATCTGGAAAGAAAACGGGGCATGTGAGTGTGTACGCGCTGATGCCCCTCAGAACTGTCTGAGGATCCCTAAGGAAATGTCAGCCTCTGGATTCTTAAGGCAGATAAACATGGACTCCTGGACGGATGTGTGTGTGTATGTGAGTATCGTTGGGCCACCTCCCAGCGGCTCGCCATTCCTCCCCTGCCGGTGCTCAGGCTGTGCAGCGGTGGGCACCTGGGGTGAGCTGCCAAAAGCACGCACGCACGCCCAGCTCGCGCTCTTCCAGCCTCTCTGTAAAGTCGGTTCATCCCTGACCTTTAGCTCCCGCGGCTGGAGGGGGAGCACAACACAAATGCCTCTGGGAAAATCTGGTTTAACTTTTCCTGTTCTTGCATTTGAAACCCCCCTCCGAGAGGTTTCTGGGATTGTGCTATCCATTTTTTAGGGCCTTCTCTGGAAAAAAGTAAGAAAGGAAGTGCCCTCACTTTCTCAGTTGTTCCTCAGTTCTGCTTTTAAACCCCCGTGACAAGCTCTGAAATCCCTGGCCTACCCTCAGGGTTTTGTGTCATTATTGTTTCATTTTGGTCTTATTTTTAACTCTTGGTCCATTGCTAGGGACTAGATCGGTTCCCCTCTTTTAACCCTTTGTTACTTGGCAAAGAGATCAGGAGGCAAGAGGAGAATTATTCTGCTCTGTTCTATTTGAGCCTCATCTTTGTCCAGGTGCTCGGTGCTATGAGGCCTGGTGCGTTGGCAGGTATCTACACAGGACGCCAGCGACACCCAAGGGCTGCTGACTGTTCCGTGAAATGTTTACTTGACTTTTTCCTTTAGTTTTAAAAGATATAACTGCACTTCACTTGGGTTGTAACATTTAAGCGCATCTCAGTGTTTGCCTGGTAAGAGAAAAGTCATCCAGCATGACCCAAAAGCACAGAAAATGGTCCCAAGGTCATGGGCACGGAGGCTTGCTCTATGTGGCAAGCACAGGTGCTCACTCCTTCTTACTGCTCTGGGTTGCCAGCCTGGCTTGCCTTCTGAAATTCTGCACAGGAGTTCTGGGAGATGGGAGGAAGATTATTTGCAGTTCGCCCTTGATAAACACCCTTGAATTGGCAGAATCTCTGCTCCAAGAAAAAGTTGTTCAGCATATCGCAAAGGACAGATGCATTCTGCTCTTGGACCTAAGGCCAAGCAGGAGACTCTGTGATGGGACAGAGGGAGAATAAACTTTAGGTCTATGACTCATTCTCCAACTGCCAACAATAAAAATGGTTGACCCAACTGCATCATTTATTCTCACGGGATCAAACAAGGCTATCGTGCTTACTCAGAATTCACTTCAAGATCAACTAAAAAGCTACTTGACTGAGCCAAAGAGGCCTTTAGTTTCATAGGATTTGGGCCATAGTTTTTCTGAAATGTAGGCTGAGTTTTTCATGAATTCTCTGGACCATTCACCACATTTCCATGGCTTTGTGGCAAAGGGGACAATCACAGGTTTCAGTTAGATTAGAGCACTGTTTAAAGGCTTGAACTTGGAGCCTATTAGAGGTACCACTGTGGTTTCATGGGCACACAAGATATTCTTAGGGTTGGAGAGAGAAGTCAAGATGGAACTGATGGAAGGGATGATAAATGATGGTGGATTAAGTTTTAAATTAATGGCAGACCAAAGAGGATCATGCCAAAAACTATTACATATATGCTGTATGAGACCGCTAATAATTAAGTTTAGTCATTTCCTCAGCACTGAGTCCAGACCCCTGAATTCTTGAGAAGAGTTAAGCCACAGTCCGAACCCAGGATTTTTATATAAACTCAAAGAAAACACAAGATCTGAGCCCAGGTCATGATCAATCTTAAGAATCCTAGTTCTTCTTTCATGACCTCACGTTCACATCACAAAGTGGATGTTTCTGTTCAAGAAGATGATATGATGGAGCATTCTGGAATGAAATGCAGTTTCGTGGTGGGTCAGGATTTTGTTTCTGAATCCTGCCATAAGAAAGTGTCCTCCAAAGAGACATGATTACAACCTGGCAAGAAAGCTTAGTGCTAAGCTAATGGTGGAGAAGCAGAAGTTGTTACAACTGAAATGAAATGGTTTCTTTTCATGGAAGCACTAGGGCTACACAAATTCAGGCCATCTTACCGAATGAGTTCGTGCCCCGGGTGCAGTTTTTGTAATGTTCTCTGTTGGCCGACTGCAGTTTTTTACTGGGAGGTTCTGGGAAATGGAACAGGCTAACGAGTGGGGCACAACCATGAGACTTCTCTCTCGTGGCTTTGCAGCTAAGTGACCCTGTGCTACATCTGCCTTGGTTTCTTAATCTGGAATAAAGATGTTGTCTGCTACTTTAGTGCTGTTCTGCACACCTTGGTGGACTAGCTTCCCAAAATATCAGGCTCCTAATGATTAAAGTAAATGCCTCATACTTAGGGGGGTACCCAGTTCCGGTAATTCTTCCTTGTGTGGCATGTGTGAAGAAATGCCATTTGGGTTCATTGCTCAAAAGTGTGGTGTGGGATGAGGGAACTGGCGCCTTTAGTAATCCACAGAACGAGATGCGTGTAGCTGCATGAAATCAGCGGATGCCCACTTGAGTTCCTGGGAGGTGGGCTTTCCCAAGTGCATGCTAAACAGTCATATTATGCCACAAGGGAATGAATAGAAACTGATAACATCAAATGTCCTGACAGGAAGTTTGTTCTGTATGGCACAGAACGTGGTTGTCCCTCAAAATTCTACCACCTTTCCAGTCTTCCTTGGCCCTCTGCCTCAGATGGCTTCCTAGTATTTGCCATCATCACTTTGTCACTCACAAATGTTACCTTGGGATACACAGGAGTGAATTGATTAGGGGATAAGTGATTTAGCTGGAAATTGACCCTAATTCCAAGTGATCATGAACAGCTCTTTACTACCTACTACTCCAGGAGATGTATGACCGCCTTATCTTCTGGCTTCCCCAGCTTCCTACTAGAAATATTGACACTAAAGCCACCATACTGCCGCATGGGCCCTTAACCTGGAAGAATACAGTACAAATGGCCATTGATGTTGTTGAAATAGCAGTCTTAAAACACTATAAAAATATTCTAAGAGAACTCTTTCGATCCTGCAGTGGATATAGTGTTCTAGTCTTTTCTCCAATGAAACTCATTCTTAGGGTTTTTCAGACTCCTTTCTAAGCTACATAGTTTGGATACAATATTTTTCTTCTCTTCACTGGGAACTCGATTCCACAGTCTATTGAGATAACCTCATCAATAGTCAAGAGGCATTTTCCATCTCATTCCTTCTGATCTCCACAGAAGACCACTTTCTTCTCTTGTCTCCTGGCCATCCTTTATCATCTGCCGATTACTATAAATAA